GTCATTTAACTCTGTTTGCCTCAGTTTCCTTATCTGTAAAATATGCTGGAAAAGGAAATGACATCACTCCAGTTTCTTTGCCAAGAAAACCTCAAATGAGGTCACAAACAGTCAGACACTACTGAAATGACTGAACAACAAAACAATGACCTGTGACAGATTTCAATCCCGTGGAATCATGACTTTCTTGCTCAAAGTCACAGGGTCAGTGTCAAGAGATAGGATAGGAACTGGGTCTTTCAGATGTCGAGTCTGGTGATGTAGCTCCTTCCACTCATCACACCAGCTATTGAGGCAGATGGCTCTCTCCAGTAAATCCCTGCTGCAAAAGCTCTTCCTGGGATCAGAATTTGAGAAGCTCATTACCTTGGGGACATATTGGGATGAAACACCCATTCCTGGGAGAGATTTCAGCTGGCACAAGGAAGGCATTGCTAGGAAGCCTTGCTGGCCGTACTACAACACTGTGGGGTGGGAGTGCTGGGCTGGGTTTTTACGCAACCCCCTTTTGGAGAAACTTGTGCCAAGTAGATGGGGACCCTTGCTTTGTTAGATTAATATAGTGTATTTATTAAGTGCCTGCATTGTCTTAGGCAATTCAGTTCAGCAAATTCAATAATTACCTATTGAGAATGGTGAAGTGAAAAAGTACCCCAGACTTAGGCTCTGGTCTTGGCCCTGATATTTCACCACCTGTTTGATCTTATCTTGTATGAAGTAACTTCAATTACCTGAACCTCGGTTTCCACACCTATAAAATGGGGACAACAGTCCTTGTACTACCTGCTTCGCAGGGTTATTGTGAGGGAAAGGGCCTACTAAGTCCTAGAGGACTCTAGAAACGTGAGCCGCTGTCCTTGCTTACTCCTCTATCTTTCTCTGTGGGAGAAGTATGAGGTGTGGTCCTTGTACCCAGAGAGCTAACTATCTTGCTGGGTAGACAAGACTAAGGCATAGGAAACAATTATATACCAGAGGATGTGGATAATTTAGATCTATGAATGAAAGCTTTGAATGCCAGGCCAAAGAGTTTGAATTTCCCCCTGTAGGCACTGGAGAGGATGGAGAGTCTAAGTAGAGGATAGCCAGGGCACATTGCTTTCTAAAGTAATGACCACTGTATCTCTCCCTCTCGCTTCTTCTTCCCTCTAGAAATTCAAGATGGACTGAAAGAGAATTTAGGGGATATTTAGGCAAAACAGTTCCTAATCTGGCTAATCAGGGAAGGCTTCCTGAAAGAGGTAGAATTGGAAGCAAGTTTGAAAAGAGAGACAGGAAGTAGCCTGGACAGGAAGCAGAAGGCAGTTATCAAGCCTTCCACCTCTTGGCCTGGTGAATAATTCCTAAAGACCAAAACAAATGTTAACCTCTTTCATGAAGTCTTCCCTGGTGTTATACACGTCCACCTTCACCCATCCCCAGGACTAATAACTGCCTCCCCCCTGGAGTCTTATGTGGTACTTTCTCTTGCACCTCTCAGTTTCTCTTTGTTGGTGTCTTATTCTGTTAAGGTCCATAAGGCAGAGACTGCTGTCTAAAATTTTGTGTCTCTCCCAGCACTAAGAACAGGTCTCTCCCTACATCAGGTACTCTATAAATGTTTGTTGGTTAACTGTATACAGTAATAGACCATAATGTCAAAAATTTCCATTGTAAAGATTCTCAACAATTCCAAAAAGTGCTGGAAAAATATCCGTGCCCCGGCATGGGCACTGACTGTGGCTTTATTCTGACCCCACTGAAATAAAGTTCACAACACAACAAAAACGACGACAGCAGTGATGACTCATGTTTCCATAGCACCCCAGAGTTCACACAGTACCTGATTCTCTGCCACTCTTTAAGGGGCTGTTAGCAGTATTCCAATTTTACCATTAAGGAAACAGGTTCAGAATTGTGAGGCCACCGGCCCATGGTTGTTCTGTAAGTGTCGGTGCTGGGATTGGGAACTTGGGATTCCAAGTTCAGCTCTCTTTCTCCCCGAGTGTGCTGTCTTTGGATTCACTTCTGCTGCATTCTCAAGTACCAGGTTTGGGGCCCATTTTTGTGTGGTCACCAAAGGGGTACTTTTGGAATATGACTTTACTTTCAATAGAACACAAGCTACTTGAGGGCAGTGATTGTTTCATTTTTTGTTTGTGTCTCTATCCACAGCGACTGAGTAGTGGGTGCTTAATAAACATGTTTGTTGAGCTAGATTGAATTGGAAGATCGTTCATGCTGCCCTTGTCGGGGGACATTCCTAGAAGGCGACTAGCTAATCTTTATGGTCTGCTCCAGGTCCAAATTCTCAGCATTTTAGAGCTAACTTGCACTAGACATAATGCCACGCACATAGTAGGCACTTAATAAATGTTGGTTTATGTGATTGAGATATGAGATTCTGAACTGTGGCCTCTGCTGATGGAAGCATTGGCTGGTTTCAGAAATATCTTTGTAAAAAGTCTTCCGTGGGTGAATGAAGCTTCCCTTAGCCCAAGATGGAAGAGCTGGAAGCTACCAGAGATATATATTATTGAGTAGTACCAGGAAATGCCAGTCAGCCTCATGTGTTCTTTTTCTTTTTGGAATGATAGAGGATCCGGGGTGGTGATGAACATGAAGGGAAGTGGTTGGTGAGACATGGGGGTGGGACATGGGGGGGTTGTTTGAGCTTTTATTATTCATTATTTATTATTTATTATTCATAACTAGGTCAGGGTTTAACTCTTTGGAGAAGCTGAACAGTATGTTCACTTGAGGGCCAAACAAATGAAGTAGGAGTGTTTGATCGTGGGTAGAAGTCTGAAGGAGCATGATAATTTCAGAGAACATTTTCGTGAAGGGCAGCATGTTCCCTTACTCGGAAGGGTTGTTCTTTGGGGACAGTCTGAATCTCTGTGGTTGAGAGGACATATTCTCTGGAAATATTAGTTCTTAAGAGATGTGTGTGTGTGTGTGTGTGTGTGTGTGTGTGTGTGTGTGTGTGTGTTTATGTATTTAAGGGACCCTTGTACATTCCTCGTAATCAGCATACAATAGTGGAAAGGGAATCCAAAGACCTGGGTTTGATTCCTGGCTGTGTGAGTTGGAATCATGGGATTTAGGTTTGGACAGAACCTAGAAGAACATTGGATTTAGCCCATATATTTGACAGAAAAAGAAACTGAGGCCCAGAGAGGGAAAGGACTTAATCCTAGGTCACAGAAGTAGTCAGTGAGAGAGATGATATTTGAACCCAGGTAATTTGAGTCTAAATCTAGTGTGTTTTTTTCCCTACTTTACTACCTATGGACAAGTCATTAAATTTCTCAACCTCAGTTTTTCCATCTGTAAAATGAGGGGGTTAGACGAGACCGTCTCTGAGTTCCATACTAAACCTAAATCCTATGATTCCAATGTAAGGTAGAGAGTTGAGTGAAGAATACAATTCCCTCCAAAGGCTGGACTGTCAAGGGGGAGAGATTGAGAAGCCAAATCTGTAATTCTTCTTATTCCTCCTTACCGACGTCTCCCTGCAGATATGTGCCTGCCATTCAGAAAGGGACCAAAGAAAGTTCAAATCGGTTTTTTAAGATGTTTAGTCATTATTTAGAAAAAAAAAAGAAGGTTAGGCTCTCAGTGGGAGTAAGGTTGATATTGATCCTATTTTTTCCACCAGTGAAGGGAGATGTAGCCAGGCTCTGAATCTGAAGGAACCCAAGAAATGTTGAGGTTCCCCTTGTCCAACCGGCATTCTATTGCCAGCTTTGAAACACCCTGCTTTATTTTTCCTAGAAGATGGCCTGGAGGGAAAAGGCTTCTTCCAGGGTTGGGAGGTTGGGATCCAGTGGCTTTCTTCCCAGGGTTTTCCAGACAGCAGGAGAATTGGGACAGGGACCATGTGCAGAGTCTTAAGTGATTATGGGGGTAGAGAGCTCTGAATTTGGAAAGACCTGAGGATTTTTTGAGAACCAGTTCACTGCTAATTCAGTGTTACCTGTGTGGCTTTGGGTAAGACATTTAGCTTTTCTGGACCTCTGAACCTATAAGTATAAAATGAGGGGATTAGAAGGAATGTTATCTCTTAGGGCCTCTTCCAGTCCCAAATCCCATGTTCTTCAGTCTTGTGCTTGTTTGTAGTGGGTAGCAGCTCAGTGGATAGGACTTGGTCTCCAGAAAGAGACTACAACATTTTATCTTCTCCAGAAGGCTGCCTGTTACTATTTCCTTTCGGAAAGGACAGATCCAGGAGGCTCCCCTCACCTCCCTGGCCCCTTTTCAGACCCTCTGTTTTTGTTCAGCTGTGAGCCACCCACCCCCTTCCTTTCTTTAACATTCTGTGGCTGACCTCTTTGGCTCTGGAAGCTATCCAAGTGCTGTATCTCAGAAACCCAGGAAAGGTTAGGAAGGAGGAAGAGAGAAATGTCTTTTTGGCTGGGGGAGTGGGAGAAAGGAATTCCATGTATGCTGCATGGGAGTTGGTGGTGTGTCGCCAAGCATGGTTTGCAGTGGCTCTCCACACAGCCACTGGCAGCCAGAGGGACCCGGGCAACCTCAGGGCTCCCAACCCTGCTGGAGCTCCCTGCATCCTGTTTCCTTAGCCCAAAGCCCTAGCTAAGCCTTCTTCCCGAGGCTGGGTGGGGAGGCAGGGTGGTGCTTGTTTACTGGGCTTGCTTCAATCTTGGTGTTGACTCCAGGCTCTGAAGGGTAAGAGCCAGAGAGTCCTGCCATCCGCCCCTCCAGGATGTGAATCCTTGTAATTGTCCTCAATTACAGGCAGGGCTGTTCCTCAGCTCTGTCTTCAAACAGGAAACAGAACACCGGTCACTTCTTTGGGGGAAATGTTATCCAGCATGGCTCCTGCCACCAGATGATTTGGAAGTTGATGGTGGCTTGTGTGTGTGGTGCCTGTCCCCTACAATATCTGTGGAATCAAGATTGGCACAGGAGACTGTCTTGGGGTGAGGATGGTATATTAGGAGTAATTTCAGTCTTTCCTCTGTAACACTCTTTGTTCTTCTGATTATTATTACCCCCAGGATGAGACTTCCGTGAGCAGTGAGGATTTTGATATGAATGACTCCACATGGATGTCAGCTGATCAACATCTAAGCTCCAGCTTGAGCCCCAGCCAGGACGAGAGGATGCGGAGCCCACAGAACCTCCCTAGCCAGGAGGATGGTGAGTGCCTGCTTCCCTTGCCAGGGGCCCCTCGGGTGGAGGTGTGGGGCAGGAGGAGAGTCTGGACTCGGCGGTTGACCTTAAGATTTGAAATTATAAATTCTGCTCTCTGTTAGATGGGCTTGTCTGTGTGTGCCATGCAATTTCTAGCCCAGCTTGCCATGTGGAAAGATTTCTTCAAGGCTAAGAAATGGGGGTAAGGCAGCATCTGAATCCATAGGTCACAGCAGGCAAGCTACCCATAGACTTGCCTGAGAAGCTCCTTGGTAGGCTAGGAAGACAACTGGTCTGGGACCAAGGGGTCCTGGGTGCTAGTCCTGACTCTGGTATTACCTAGCTGTATGACCTTGGTCAAATTGCTCTTCTTCTCCCCTGACGTTGGTTCCTTCCTCTGTAAAATAAGGGAATATGGTTCATCTCAGCTTTTATGTTTTATTCTATTATCTTCTCTTGTCCAATTTGGCTGTGATGTCTTTGAACTACTACACCAGGGAAAATAAGCTGGTGGCCTTTTCCAAAATAGAGGGTTGTTTTGGGTTTTTTGGTTGGTTTGTTTTTGGGGGGGGGTCCTTATAATGTCTGGTAGATTGGCACTTGGAATAGTTGGGCTCCAGAGAAGACAGAGTCAAAGGGCTGGGGTTTTTCAATGTCCTTAGCCTTGCCAGGGCTTAACCTTGGAAAAGCCACCCTTTTAAATCCTGAAGAGTGAACCAGGAACATGCCTAAGTCCCAGGTTCCCAGCTTCTAACCCTGATAGAAGAAAAAACTTTGCAATGTTTAGAGTGATCCAAAAATGGACAAGGGGATGACTTGGGAGGCAGGGAATTACTGATTCAATTCAATAGACATTTAATGAAGGTTTTAATAAAAATTTAATAAATATGTACAAGGCACTATGCTCTATGAGTGGAATACAAAGATGAAAAGTGACAGCCTCTGTATACAGTCTAATAGGAGAAATTGCATGTATAGAAAAAAGGAGAAATTGCATGTATAGAAAAAAGTGTAACAGAGTCAAAAATGAAAGGGTGGGGGGCAAAGAAGAGATCTGGACAAAGTTCCCTGGTTGAATGTAAAGCCAAAGGAGAACCCTTTTACCTGGAGGGGATGAGGAAAGGCTTATGAGGAAGTGACATCTGAGTAAGGAAGGCCTTGTGGGAATAGAAGGATTTCACCATGCAGAGATGAGGAGGGAGTGAATGCATTCCAGGTGGGTGGGATGGCTTGTGCTAAGGCATGAAGGAAGGAGATGGCATTACTAGATGAGGGGACAGATCATAGTTGTTTGACAGGAGCATTGAGTGAAATAAGGCTGAAAAGGCAGGTTAGAGCCAGATTGTGTAGTGCTTTGAATGCCTGGCTTAAAAGTTTATATTTTATCCATATTGGAATAGAGAGGATGAATAGGATGAAGGCCAAGTTAAACAGTCTTGGGGTGGGTTTTTGTGATGATAATACTGTGATTTGGGCCTGGGCCCAGCGGAAAGGGAATCAATCACTCTTCTTTCTTCTAAGGTTTCTCTTTTATCTGCTGCCTTCTCCCCCAACCCCTCCCAAGTGGCAGCCAGCAGCAGTGAAGCACTCCTCTATCCATTAAACATATATTAAGCACCTGCTGTGTGCAGGTCACTGCATTCTTTACTAGGGGAGAGGCAAAGTTTATGGAAAACATGATAACCTGCCCTCACAGAACCTACAATCTGGCAGGGAGACAAAATCCCCTCACATAAAACTATAAAACATGATAACACATTAGAGCAGTGCAAAAAAAAAAAAACAAAAAGCATTTTATGAGTTTAAGGGGAACATTGTTACTGAAAGGGGAGCTCAGAGAGACTTCTTGGAAGAAGTGGCATTTTGGGTTTGGCTTTAAAGCCTTGGTAGGATCAACAGGAAAAGACAGAGAGACTGGACGAGAGAGCATAGAGGGAGGAAGAATAGTCCAGGCAGCAGGGAGGTAGGGAACTCCTAGGGTAGAATATCGTGCACATTTTGGGGCATGATCATTCTAACAGGTGCTTTTGTTTAACTGTTTTTCTTTGTTAGAAGGGAGGGCTCAATTCTAAGGAGACGGATAAGAGGAGAGAAGTGGTACCAGAAATGATCATGATGTAAAAACAAAAGGTGTCAATAAAGTTGGTTATTGGGTTGTTGTCATTTTTGTTTTAAATAAGTCTAGGCAAATGGTAAGGAAGGTCTGGAATCGGGTGGTAGCAAGAGAAGTAGAGAGGATGGCGCAGTGAATGAGCTTCTTACTAAGATCTTGAGGCCATAGAACTGGAAGAAGCCCTCTAACATCATCTTTGTCAGGGGTGCTTAAACTGGGCTCCATGACCTTGGATAGGAAAAATATTTTGATAGCTGTATTTCAATATGATTGCTTTCTTTTGTAATCTTATTTGTGTTTTATGCATTTAAAAACATCGAGAAGGGGTCCACAGGCTTCACCATGTTGCTACTCTTTATGACATGACATGCCTACCCTTTATTTTATGGATGAGACTCAGAGAATTGTTAAGTGACCTCTCTGAGGTCACACAAAGCAATTTGTGAACCAAGATTTGAACCCATGTCCTCTCACTCCAAATCTAGGACTTCTTTTCAGTATGCTATGATCCCTCTCATGGGGCACTGTTATCTGATCCCTCTGGGCACCTTTAGACGTCTCAAGGGAGCAGCTGCTGCTCGCCTGTGGCCTGATGAGGACTGTAGGAAACGGCAGAGTCAAATGAACATTCATTTATTCACCCGTCTGGAGAGTCAGCTTGGCAGGTCCGAGCTGGCAGAGCTAGTGTCAGAAGTGAGTTCCTGAGGTGGCTCAGAAAGTCCCAGCTTTAGATCTCCCACACAGGACTGGCTTGTACCCAGGGGAGATGTGGGGCTGCTGTGCTTTGAGGGTTTGGCATCTGGGGAAAGCTTTGAGAAGGCCCAGGATGTGGGGGTTGTTGCCAAAGCATCTGGGGTCATGGTACACTCCAGTTTTACTTTTGATCTGCAAGCAAGGGATGGGATATGTAATAGGCAGCAATGGGGACCGGGGGGTGTTGAGCAGGTAATTAGGAAGGGTTGAAGGTCAGAGGCCTGGAATGTGGGAGGAGGCACTGGGTCTAAAAAGGGGTGTAATGTTAACTCTGTGAAACGTGTTAGCTTTAAAAAGTAAATAAGGGGTAGATGTGTTGGAGTTTGGGTCAAAGTTCATCTCCATGGCAGAGTTGGTGTGGTTTGACTCGGGCTGTTTTTCTCAGGAGTTTGAATCCCTCTTTGTCTCGAGAGCTGTGACCCAGAGGCAGCTGGAAATGACCAGGCCAGTAAAGCCTTGAGAGGGTCTGGTGTGTGTTTCTCTGAGGAGTGGGGCTAGAATTAGAGAGCCATCTTCCACCAAAGGGAAGAAAAGGCCTTTGTGCCTACCCCAGCCCCAGTGACGTCGACTCCTTCGACCCCCTTGGGCCTCCAAAGCTTCCCGGGCGTCAGCCCTGCCACGAGGGGTTCCCACAGTCTGAAGCAGCCAGGTGCCCTTTGGGAGCAGGAAGTCCATGCTATCTAAAAGAAAACCACCTCTGGGGAGTTGTGTCTCCTGACAAGAGCCCTGGATTGCCTACTTTCAAGTTCCAACTCTAGCACTTTAGCCATGTAACCTTGGGCAGGGCATTTTGATTCTCTGAGTTTCAGTTTCATCCTCTGTAAAATGGGCACAAGCAACATTTGTACTACAGCCTGCAGAAAGTCACTTAGCAAACCTGAAGGTGTTGTAGAGATAAGAGTTTATCACTGCTACCACCAGCATCACCTGGCTTGGGGTGGCGTTCATCAGCATCCTGAGGCTGTACCAGCCATGTTAGTCTGGAAGACACTGATTGCTTCTGTGTGGTCCCTCTGGGCACTTTCAGACCTCTCAAAACAGAGAGGGCCCAAGTTCAGGAGATGTCTATTCTCTGGTCCAGGTGACCAGGGAGAGAGGAAAGGCTTGACTGAGAGACAGGACCGGGGAGGGGAAAAAACCAAACAACAACAAAAAATTAGAGACTTAAAACTGGATTAGTACCAATCCATCTATCCTTAGAGGGGCAGGTAGGTGGTACAGTAGATAGAGCTTCGGGCTTGGAGGCAGGAGGACCCGAGTTCAAATTTGACCTCAGACATTTGACACTTACCATCTGTGTGACCCTGGGCAAGTCATTTAACCCTGATTGCCTCACCAAAAAAAAAAAAAGAAAAAAAAAGAAAGTTCCCTAGAATATTAGCTTGCAGTTTTCTAGTGGTTGAAGGTTCAGAGACAATAAAAGAATTATCACACCCATTTTCCTGAGAAGGAAACTGAAGCCCAAAGAGAGGAATTGACTTATAATGATTAAGTAGAGCACTTTAAGCACTTAACAAAGCACTTTCCTCAGCATAACCTTGTAAAGGAGTTAATGCAAGTATTATTATCCCCATTTCACAGGTGAAGAAACTGAGGCTCAGGGAGGTTAAATGACTTTCCCATGGTCACACAGCTAGTGAGTGGTACAGCCAGGATTTGAACCCAGGTCTTCTGATGCCAAGTTAGTGCTCTTTCTATCACACCAACCACACTGCCTCCCATGTTATTATTACATCACATATGTCAAGGACCTGTGACTTCACTGGTTTGGGAACTCCCTACTCACTTTGCTGACATGGATCGCAACCCATCCATGACTTATTAGCTTAGAGCTGCCTGGTGCTCGGGGATTAAGTCACTTGCTTGTGGTTACACAGCTAGTAACAACAGAGGTATGTTTGGAACCATATTTTCCTTGACCCCAAGTCTGGCATTCTGGTCACTATACTGTGCTCCCTCTATAATTATTTACAAAAATAACATAATTATAAATAACCCCTTTTGGAGGGACAGTCACTATTTAATATTAATACCAAGTACTTTAGTGGCTTTAATTTCCCTCTGCTCAGTGAAACTGATCCTATTGGCCAAGGGAACCACTATCAGATCTAGCCTTTCCTCTCTTCCTGGTCACCTGGAC